ATTTAAGCCATATGTGGAAAAAATCTAATTGCTAATAATGGCTGTGCGATACAAAATGTAAGATACGATTTCCCATGTTAATGACATAAAAATTAGAAATCAATGGATATTATTATGTCAATACATGTTACCTTCTGTACAAATAATATCACTGAAAGAATTTTTAAATTATTCCACTTAATAGAGAAATGGCAGCGTTTTGAATTTTTAAAATTTTGGCAATTTTGGCAAAAACTGTACATAAATCAAAACTTTAAAAACGCTGCCATTTCTTTATTAATTGGAATAATTTAAAAATTCTTTCAGTAATATTATTTGTACAGAAGGTAACATGTATTGACATAATAATATCCATTGATTTCTAATTTTTGTCATTAACATGGGAAATCGTATCTTACATTTTGTATCGCACAGCCATTATTAGCAATTAGATTTTTACCACATATGGCTTAAATGAAAGCTCGTTATTTTGTGTATGCCCCTATATAATATTAGTTTCAAATTAAAGGTCTTCCTACATAAAAATTAATGACTATAAAAAAGTTAATTTACTTAGTCTATTTATATAAGTTTACAGCTTTAATTTAAATCTACCAATCAATGTATTGGTATATTATGTATCCAATAATCTATATTTCAAATTTTAATAAAATTTACATTTACATTAAAAATTTTATATTAAATTTCTTTAGATTTTTGTTTACATCAGCCAACCAAATCGCTGGCATGTATGGTATGCCTAAACCTCGTGGCCATAACCATAATATTGATACCATATTTACAAGCAATTGGTCTATTATACCTAAACTTTAGTGTCTATGGCATAGGATTCAGTTGTATTAATGTCTTATTTGTCGTATGGATTGTCGACCTCTGGGGACAGGCTTGTGGGCCATACATACAAGCATTTGAATTCACCACTGGTATCGCCGGTATAGTCGCACCATTAATTGTGACGCCATACCTACCAACTGAAGAAATGTATTTCCAAGCTCATAATGATAAATATAATAACACCGGTGCTTTTGAGCAAATCACACATGATACAAGGTCTACATTAATGATACCCTTCGCAATAACCGGGGTATTTATCGCCGTATTTAGTATTTTATTAGGCTTCGAGTATTTGTTTAAAACATTCTATTCGCGGAATATTCTGGATTCTGGTAATCCTAACGATATCAATAACCAGAATAATATTCATAATATTGCAAATTCTGATGCAAATAATGATAATTCGTTTAAAAATCGAGTTCAAAAAGTTTGGCACAATTTTGTGATCAATTTTCGGACACAATTAATGCCCACAAAACGCATACTAGTGCTCATCTGTCTGTGCGCTACACTCGAGTCGATGTTCACTGGACTCGAGACGTCACTACAGACTAACATCGAAGAGTTTGTGGAGAGATGTGGGTTACGTATGAACTCAGATGCCAGAGCTCACCTCAGCTCCAGTATCTCAGGGGCCATGACTGTCAGTCAGGCCCTGGCTATACCTCTGTCGACATACATATCCCCTAAAATTATCCTCTTTATCGGTATATTAATGATACTATTTTCTCAAATCTTATTACTATTTGCTTATATTTCAAAAGGCGCTATTTGGGCAGGTAGCATAATTTATGGGTTAGGTATTGGACCCATGTACGGTACTAATTACCAGTTGATTGAACAGATTACCCCGCTAACTGATCTAGTAGCTGTATTGTTTGTCTTATGTCCCGGTGCTGTTGAGGTACTAATACAGATAATATTGGGTATGGGTATGAAAATGGATGACTTTTTAATGGTTTACGTTGATTTAGGATTTGCCGTATTGGCACTCATTTTTATTGTACTGATTATTGTAATTGATGCAAAATTAATCTAAAATACAATTTTAAAAATACAATAATAGGCTATATTAAATTATATTGGCTAGTTTAATATATTAAAAATTAAAACCGTTTGGTTGTGAATGAATTTATTTTATTGAAACTTACAATACTTAACTTATAATTAAAAATGTAAATTTATCTTAAAATTATATTTTGTTAAATATTCATGGTTAGTTTTTTTTATTAGTGAACAGGCTGTTTAGAGATTTAACTTTTCCTCCAGGCACAGCTTATTAAATTAGTTTTTAAACTACAAAATTATATTAAAATATATTTTAGTAATTTTTATTAAGCATTTTATCTAAATAATCATAATATACAATTTATAAATTTTTATTTTAATTACGTTTTAATTTTATCTTATTATTACTTATTTAAATCCGTATAATAGAAAGACATTGGTTAATAAATAATTGAAAATTATAATGTAATTAAATAAATATTTATAAATTGTATAATTGTATAAACATGCATACATAATTAACATTTATATTATAAATTATTGCGTTAATGATAATTTAATAAACTTTTCAATAATTTAATAAATAGCCTAAATTTGGGAGACAATAGATTTGCTGAAAAGAACCTAGAATAATTAGTATAACATTCCTATATAACCAGAATATAACCTCAAATATTAGTGTACAGTCTCTGTAGATGTCGTGCTATTTAGTGATCACAATATCTCGACATTTGTGACAAACAAGTGATGGAAAGACACGAAATAATTGGCGATAAATATGTGGTAAAACTCGTGGACCACGTGTTGGACGCCAACGAAGCCATTGAGTGGGTGTCTGACCCCACGTGCGGAGCCGTAGCCCTGTTTATGGGGGTCACGCGTCGCACGGAATCGGGTGACCCCGAGCACCGGCACGTCCAGTGCCTCGTCTACGAGGCCTACCACTCAATGGCCATCAAACAGATGCAGACAATTGTCGAGCAGAATATAGCCTCCTATGGGGCCCACGATATACGCAAGTGTTATATGAGTCACCGCTTGGGACGGGTAGGTGTGGGCGAGGCGTCGCTACTGATTGCCTGTTCCGGAGCCCATCGGCGGCCGGCCCACCAACTGGTTCTCAAACTGGTCGATGATATCAAAGCCGTGGTTCCCATCTGGAAGCGCATCCATTACACCACCGATGATGGCGTCCACACCACCACTGAATGGAGTGATAAGAGTGAGGCCTTTTGGATCAGTCGCCAGTCGGACACCAGGGATGCCTACACTGCCAACACTTCTTAAATATATATAAATTTATATTTCTATGATATCTATGTTTTATAAATTACTATTAATATGAACTCATTTGTAAATATTATTAATTCATGAGATCATAGATCATGTAAAATATACTTAACTTTTTAATATAGTAAGGTTTTATGAATATAATGTAGTTAATTATTTGTACTAATTATCATAACATTGCAATAATTTAAAATACTATAATATTCTACATAATATGATAGGTTAAAATTAAAGGAAATGATCCCGGTCACCAAACATAATGTGCATAAAATTCATGAATAGCTAGAATATAGCCGCGAATATTCATTTACAGTCTCTATAGATGTCGTACTATTTAGTGCTAACAATCAATAGACTGTTTAAATAAGTAAATTGGACACTGCTTAATTTGTTATATAAGTATTCAAAATATATTTATGAAAATTGGAAACTAATTAACGGATAATTTTTGCATATAATTTGAAAATAATATATTTTGTTTGAATCGTTAAAATTTAAATAAATTGACAACATTGGTTTATTTTAAATAACACGTCAATGGTATAACTTTAAACAACTACTAGTATAAAGGTAGGCGTTACTCTAATTTAATAATCAGCATGGTATTAGAGAAATATTTTTAAATCATTTAAAATAACTCAATAATACTTTTTGATATAATATTTATTAATTTCTTATTAAAATTTATAGCTAGATCAATAAATTTCATTATAATTTACATTGTGTATTTAATACTATAGTAACCAGTGTAAGTTAGTTATATAAAGAATTTATATATAAAATATGAGAAAATAAACATAAGATTTTTGTAATACAAATATATACTTATTTAGTATACAATACTCGTGAATAGAAAAGTGAAATTACATATTAATAAAACATTTTAGAGATTACTTTATGCCAAACATGACATCATTTGTTTCATACGAATCGTAAGAAAATCAATTCGTTATAAAAGAAAAGTAGAAAATCTTTTTGATATAAAAAACATGAGTTATACGCGAATGAAATATAATTGAAAAGTTTTTAATTTGTATTTTGAGTCCTAAGTGTGTCATTGATTTTGAAATCTTTGTGTTTTCTGTTAACGAAACTATCACTAAAAAGGGATATAAAAAATTGGTGTTAAAATCATTTCGTGACAAATAGTTTCTGTGTTCAACAAAAGTCAAAGTTTTTGTGTCAGATTTGTATTGTTTTTATCATTACTTTTAAGGTAAGTTTTTATAAATAAATATTTTTAATAATGTATGGATAGTATAGCTAGCAAACAAATATTTATCCATGCTATTGATTATTTAATATTTTTAGTTAAATTCTGTATATTAATGTATTAAATACTGTATTACTATATTACACGTGTACAGTAAAGTTGTTACTAGTTTAATATGATAGTTATATCACATTACCGTCTGTCGCACATAATATGATATTTATTTAGCCCTCATATTATTCAGTCGCTATATTCAGGGTCATTCTAATTAAGGGTATATCAGATATATGGGGCGGAATTCATAAATTGTTATTCAACATTTTAAATTATTTTTAAACAGTAAGTTTTAATGCTTTAAGTTTTATTTTATATTTAAAAGTCAGACAAATATACCAATATTTGTATTTAATAATGATTATTAAACCCTTTCCACTGATCCCAACCCAATATGTAATGACTGATTGATAATAAACTCTTTGGTTTTAAGTCTGCAATAGTGGGCGTAAAAGTGTATTATGTTATACAAGCAAACTATATTGGGTTACAATTATTTAAATGTAGAATTTAATATAATACTCAATATAATTCTCTCTC